AAGCCGTAATGGGGACTAATGCAAAAATGAGGTGTAATTAAACTCGACCCTTATTTGTCCTTTTTGCTTAACTGCGCGCAAGTACAGATGGCTCCTTGAGTTGGGTGGGCGCGGCCGGTGGATATATGAGAAGAGGAATATACATAGATAGATAGAGATGGAGAAATAATGACCGTGGCTTAAGTTTCGAGAGATGAATAGTAAACTCCGAAACCCCGAATAAGAAATCCGTGCGAGAGTGAAGCACCGAATCCTCACGCCTTTGAACCGTGATGAAGAAGAAGCCCTTTTTCGCTCTTGTTCCTTCTCGTCGCCGTCGCCTCCTTCAGACTCACGTGTTACACTCCCTCTCTCATTAACCTTCACCCTTCCCGGATGTGATCGATTAACAAAGAGGGGTGTGAGGGGGCTTCATTGGCACTGCGGGGCACTCCCCTTCGACGTCCTTAGTTAGGTGTCCTGCTGTCGTGGCGCCAAGACGTGGTGCCAAAATGCGGAGTAGTTAGTTCTCAAAACCTCGAGATCATTCCAGGAATTTCTCATTTCGTGCCGGAAGGAAGAGGACTCTTAATAGCATCCTGCAGGAGAGCCATCGAGTGCGCAAAACAAGGATATAAAAGGGAAAGACTCAGAAATCAGGGCGTTGGTGCGCGGTCTGCGAGTGCGAGTGCCAGCGACTCAAACGATCGCAATGCACACAGCGAAGGGAAATCATTCACTTTTTCATTGTTACTTCTGGTACTACCGGTACTACTATTAAAATTATTGCTGCTGTTGTTACCTGTCAAGGAAGATGTCACAGAGAAAAACATTGAACTCGGTAATGTGAGTGTTGAGGTAACTGCGCAGTGGGTTCGGCGGAACACGCGGCTGCACAAAGGCTTTCGTTAATAGTGAAAGACGACAGCGTTCATTTGAGCGGTCTGGGCGGAGTGTTGGTATTCATTTTGTATATATACATATATATATATATATATATATATATATATATATATATATATATATATATATATATATATATATATATATATATATATATATATATATATATATATATATATATATACTGTATGTATATATATATATATATATATTATATATATATATATATATATATATATATATATATATATATATATGTGTGTGTGTGTGTGTGTGTGTGTGTGTGTGTGTGTGTGTGTGTGTGTGTGTGTGTGTGTGTTGTGTGTGTGTGTGTGCGTGTGTGTGTGTGTGGTTGCGCGCTTGTATTCACTATTGTTATTATCACTATTGTTGCTGTTACTATTGTCATATCTTTATGATCATTAGGCCACACCAGTTTTATTTATTGTTTCTCGGTTTCGCCGCTTCATTATTATGCATTTTGGAAAAAAAAAAGAAAAATCCGGGCCAGAAGCCACCGCCTGTAAGCACGACCGCAATGAGCTTCCGGGAGCCAATCAGAGAGCTTCTTCGTCGCCGCGTGCCGGAGGACAACCAATCAGGAAGCGGCGTATCTTTCATAACAATATGGCGACTTAAAAGGTTTTGTTGTGTGCTAAACTAAACATACTTTAAACGATAAGTTCAGTTTAGTTTAGAGTTAGTTGTACAGTAGTTTATAGAGATAGACAGTAGAACAGACCGAGGTTTTCTTTGTAAAGCTGCGAGTCTGCTGCCGAAGCGGACAAGATGCCAGCGTAGAGGACCCGACGCGGCAAACTTTTTTGTTGAGGGGATTTTTGGTTTTGTTTGTTATTTAAATGTTACTGGATCGACATTATAGAAAAAAATACAATAATAGTAGTAAATGCAACGCACGTAAATGCTGTCAAAAATAATGTTCTTTAATTGGATTTAGAGTAAGAAATCAAAGGCCGGGTTTCGCTGCATAAGAAGTGCCCAGAAGGCCGAAAATGCGAATAATTTTGTTCTTTATGTTCTCGCCCTGAGTCTCTTCGCCCGGTCGCTCCTCCGCTTCTCTGGAAAATACAAGAAGCAATAAATAAAATTGGTGTGGCCCGATCAGTGCTATTGTTTTTGTTATCATTATTATCATGGTCACTATCATTCTTACCATTATTATTGTCATGATTATTATCAATATTATCATCATCATGGCCTTCACCATCACCATTATCATCATAATTATCACAATCACCTTCACTATCATTAATGTTATTATTATTATCATCATTGTCATAATCATCATTATCATCATCTTCATCATCATCCTCATTGTTATCATAACAATGATTATTATACTTAAGCAATATTCTACACCCGTTGTGCACCGAAATTGCATGAGCAAATGCGCCAAATAAATTCTATTAGTCTCGTCACCGGCATTATTCTTGATCTCTAGGTCTTAAAAACGAATAGATGTTATCGTTGTGCAGGGACAGACAGATGTCTTTTAACGAATGGAAGCTTCGAATCTGTCTTTCTACAAAAAGTGCGGTGAGAAGCAAATGTTCGAAGTCGAATTCGGAACACGTTTGTTTGGCAACTTTGAGTAAGACTGTACATGATTTCACAGCCTCGAATGTAAAAAAAAAAAAAAAAAAAAAAAAGAAGTTGCATAGTTAACTCTAGAATTTCCAAATGATCATATTAATTGGTCTGATTTATATTCACGATCATGCGATCAATCTGATAATCGCAACTTACTGTGGGAAAAATATAATTTGAAATTCCTAATCTTATAAAGCTTTTTTTTAATATTCATATAATAGGCTAATAATAATAAAAGAGTTTGAATTACTTGCTAGTAGGAAACTAATATGGGTGATCATTTATTGGCTGTATTGGGTAATTGCATTGTAAAAAAATCGAAAAAGTAGTTTGATTATGTAAAGTGTGATCTGTTTAGTGTAGTAAATAGGCAGTGGTGTAAGGTGGGTATTGTAGCAATATGAAGCGAGTTATCATTTATTAAGATATTGGGAGATGGTTAACGTTTGTCTATTTGAAGTCTGAGTCGAGTTACATGTCCAGAGCTGATCATTAAGAAAAACGAAGAAAAGGGAAATTAAAACCAGTGAAATAAACCAATGTCATAAACGCGAAAATTAACCAAAGCCTTGTCATGCACAGGGTCATGAACGGTGCCTGTCATGAGCGAAGATGAGCAATGGCGTAATATAAAATATATTATTGGTTCTTCGATCTGAGATGCAACGCCATCTATATGTCCGATATTCCACTATCGTACATATAACGCCATCTATATTTCGCCATAGTCACTCCCTGATTTCCCACGATCGTACATGTAACGCCATCTATATTTCTGCTTTGTAACTCATTCTCATTCACATTATTTTCTCCCATTACGACCGCGAATTCTCCAATGAATGAATTCAGTGGTTTCTCTCCCCAGGAAAAGCGACCATGCAGACGGCGATCCTGGTGGTGGTGCTGTCGCTGGCGGCCTCCTTGGCGGCCTCCTACAAGGTGGGCTTCGGGACCTGTCCTCCCGTCAACCCCATGAAGAATTTCCAGCCGGCTGAGGTTATTATCATTATTATTGTTATTATTATCATTTTTGAGGGGTGGGAGTTTGCTTTGATGTGGGTATTTCTACTTATAATTATAGTTGTACTTAAAGTTATAGATGATTATAGTTATAGATATGATTATGATTGTAGCTATGCATATAATCATAGTTATAGTTCTAACTATAGTTATGTTTGTGTGTGTGTGTGTGTGTGCGCAAGATAGAAGATGGACTGATAGATAGATAGAGATAGCCTGAGAGATACACAGGTAGACAGACGGATAAAGTCAGGTAGTCAATTTATTAGTAAATATGTACGATACACAACAAAGTTATAAATCTACTATCTCTTTAAACACGTTAATTTTTTTTTCTTTCATTCTTTCTTTTTGTTATTTTTATTATTATTCCTACGCCCGTAGACTTGTACAACCTCACAACCAAACGAAGGGCAACGTGTTCAGGGGCATCTTTTCCTAATTACACGAGTGTTTGTCTTGTACAGTGAACACGTTTGGAACACGTGTCGCCACACCCTCAATTCCTAACCGTAAGCACCTGCGAGATAGTGCTATTGATGTTGATATAAATGATATACATATTATTATTATTATTATTATCATTGTTATTGGAATTCTCAATGTTATTATAATTACGATCAATATTATTGTTTTGTTATTATTTTTTTTATCCTTATTATTGATATTATTATTAGTATTGTTATTCTTAATGTTATTACTATCATTACCATCATTATTATTAGATTATTATTAATATAATTTTCAGTGCTAAGACCATTATCATTTAGGGGTTAGCAACCGTATCAGATTATTTTGAAAAATAAGTTGAAAAGGTGCAATTCGTCCGAATAAGACAAAAGATAGCAGTAAAGTAAAAAAAAAAAAAAAAAAAAAAAAAAATGCGTGGTGTTTAAATAAGCGTCGAATGTTGTTGAAAAATACGGTAACGGATTTGTAGAAATTTGTTGTGGCATAAAATGAACGAATTTAAAGAAGACAACAAATGGAAAACTCTCCAAATAACCATGACTTTTTAATAATTTTTTAACTTATAATTACGCATGATAAAATAAATCCTTCAAAACAGCAAACGATAATGGACGTACGAATAAGAATGAAATAGCAATGATGAACAGCTTCTCTCTCGTCGCAGTTCCAGGGACTCTGGTACGCGGTGGAGATGTTCACCACCAACAGCAAGTGCGTGACCCTGACCTTCAACCGCCTGGGCAAGAACGACTTCAAGGTCACGGAGGGCAGGGAGTTCGTGGCGGCTCAGGTCGTCGGGATTGACCACTCCTTCAAGACCAAGGGCGTCTACAACTCGCGGGCGCCGCAGCAGCCGGCCAAGTTCCACGCCAGGTGGTCCAATAGTGAGTCTCGCGTCGGATCCGTGTTTCTCCTTTTCTCTCTTGCTTTTTCTGTCTCTGTCTGTCTGTCTCTTTGGCTGTTGTCTCTCTGTCTGTCTGTCTCTTTGGCTTCTGTCTCTTGCAGGGGTGTCTTTACGGCTTTTTGGGGGGGGGGGGGCAAAGGTGGGTTGGCAAGCGAAGCGAACATAGAGAAGAATTTCTGAACTATAGGGTAGTTTAACTATCGGGTCTATTTATGTAATATAATAAAAAATACTTAAAAAATTGTGGCGGGGGGGGGGGGGGGGCAAGTCAGACTTGAGGGGAGGCAAAGTCTTGGGCGGTTGCCCTTGTGTGTGTCTGTGTCTGTGTCTTATCTCTGTCTGTCTCTGTCTGCCTTCTTCTTACCCTGCCCCCCTTCCTCTCGCAGACATCTGGCAGCAGCCAGAAGCCATCATCGTAGACACGGACTACTGGCAGTACGCCGTGATCGTGGAGTGCCAGTCGGTCATGTACTTCATGAAGAGGACTTCCGCCGTGATCCTCAGCCGCAAGAGAGACCTCGACCTGCGCGTCCTCAACCAGGTGGGTTTGCCAGCTGCGTCTGAGGGAGGGAAGAGGGGGGGGGAAAGGAGGAGGATAGTGGGAAGATGAAGGGTAGAATGGGAGATGGTGAATATGAAGAGAATAGGGGATGAGATGAGTAGCAGTATGAAAAAAAGGGATGGAAATGAAGGGGATTGGGAATAAGATGAATAGCAGTATGAAAAGGGGATGGAAATGAAGAGAATAGGGGATGGGATGAGTAGCAGTATAAAAAAAAAAAATATGAAAATGAAGAGGATAGAGAATAAGATGAATAGCAGTATGAAAATGGTAATGAGAATAGGGGGTGAGATGAACAGTAGTATGGGAGAAATGATGAAAATGAAGATAATAGGGTATGAGATGAATAGCAGTATGAAAAAAGGAATGGAAATGAAGAGAATAGGGCTGAGATGAACAAGAGCATAGGAGAAATGATGAAAAGGAAGAAAATAGGTGATGCGATTAATAGGATTATGACAGTTTGCTGACTGCTCCGCGCCCGCAGGTGAAGCGAGACCTCTGCGACGGGTATGGCTTCGACTGCAAGGACTTCGAGACGATCGACCACAACCGCTGCACGAGCGTCCAGCGCGAACCCGCCAGGAAGGACGTCGCGAGGGCCAGTCCCCTCAACAGGCCGAAGCCCCTGAGGAAGTTCCCGATGCCCGAGGTCGTCAGGACAACGCCCTCGTCGAAGATCAAGCCTCGCACCTTCCGGCCGATCACGCAGAAGCCGACGGCGGCCCCGACCACGCCCAGGGTCTACGGGAAGCTGCAGAGGTGGTGCCTCGACTTCTTCTGCTAGAGGTCGAGTGGGGCCTAGCAGGAACGGGGCCTAGATTTCTGCTGGACGTCAGATGGGGTCTGGAAGCATTGGTCTGGATCTCTGCTTTATGTCGACTGCGGTTTAGCAGAAAGGGTGACCAGATTTCTGCAAGGGATTCGATGGGTTCTAGCAGAAAGGGCTGGACATCTGCTGGGTATTAAATTGGACCAAGCAGAAGTAGTACGATGACCTGCTAAATTCTGAGTGGGGTTGAGCAGTAGTGATTCCCAGACTTCTAGCAGACGCCACGCAGGTGCAACTTCTGCTAGGCGGCGGAGGAGGTGGGGGGGGGGGGGGGGGTTACCTGAATGATTACCTGAGGCCTCTGCTGGTTCCTGCAGGAGCGGCGCCGATCTGGAATGTAGTATATCATCTCATTGCTGCAAATAACAAGTGCAGACTGTACTACGCTTGCACAAAGTAGGCAGGCTAGGTTGATTTGTTTTTATTTGCAGTTACTAATTAAAAAACAAAAAGTGTTTCCTCGAAAGCCCCTAATTGCAAGTTACGATCTTTTATTTAAAAAAAAAACCTGCGCTGTTATGAACCAATTTAGTATAACAACAGCACGTTTTCAGGGGCGGGGCCACAAGGCAACATACACGCAGTATAGTTTGTTGAGGTGATGTAGTTGCCAAAGGCCTCCAGATCGTTGAACAAAGCCCTATTAAATTCCAAGAGCATTTATACGTTACGGCGTATAAGTGTTTCAGAATGCCACTGATCCGGGTCTTCTTATACCAGGTCGTAATGTGATGACATTAACTACTGTGGGATGTATGTCTCCTGCAAGACAATGCTAGGTCTTCGTATTCTAATGCATTATATTACCATAAGGTTTATCGCCCATGCCACATCAGTGAGGTATGACAGGTGCGATATATATGACATATATGTAAGCATAATGTATTTTATATATCTCATAGATTTAGGCACAGTGTGTGTTTATCGTGTATCGAAAAGGGTATGTTTTCCATCGCATCAATGTCAGTAATGCGATGCACAGCCATATGGCAAGAACAAACAAACACAGACATGTCTACTGACGGTGTATACAACTGTACACACACACACACACTAAGTATTATATATTCGCAATGTTTATCGTTGATATACGTAGGCAACTTTGTATACGTATATATCCGAATCTAATCATTATATTAGCTATACTACAAGTATATCTCATTATATATTGTATTTCTGAAACACTTTTGCTTTTGCTAATAAAGTCTTCTGGACTCAATTATAACTCCAATTTTACTACCACAAACAGCGCAATTAGAGAGCAGAAATGTAACAACTTAACTAGCAGTGCCTTATTTACCTCTACTTTGTTATCATAAATATACCATCAGAGGTATGGCCAATTCGTTATATGTAGAAGCTTATATTAGGCCTAGAATTCAATTGATACTGAAAAAATGGGTCTGGGTCCAGCTGTGGATATATTCAAAATTATGTACAAACATTTTTCTTCTAATGATATTAAGCTAATGCTTTAATTATTTGTTGATTATGGTCATCTTTTTTATTTTTTTTCTATACAGACGCGTAATTCTGCATTATATTTTTAGATAAAATTTGAGAATTTAAGGTTTGATCAATTCTATGTTAATAATATCTGGAAGGATCCGCGGAAATTCCACTGAAAGAAAAGAAAAGAAAAGAAAAAAGAGGTACCTTTCTCTCCATATTTCACTTTCCTCTTTCTACCTTTCGCTTCCTCTCTCCGTTTCCCTTCCCCTCTCCCTCTACCTTTCTCTTTCCTGTTCTGCTACCCCTTTTCATTCCTAAATCTTTCTTAAATTCACTCCCTCCCACTCTAAGCTCTTCCCTTCTTCTCCTCCTCAAACTCCCTCACCTCCTTCGTGTCCTTCTTCTTCTCTTCTCTTCCATCTTCTTTTTCCCTCTGAGCCCCTCCCTTTCCCTTCTTTCCCTTCCCCTCCTTCCTCTCTAAGTCGTCTCCCTTTCCTTTCTGTTTCCCCTTCTTTCTCTTTTCTTTGAGCCTCATTTCCTTTTCCTTATCCTCCTCCTTTCTCTATTTGTCTTGAATAATAATAATGATGATGATAAATGATAATGATAATGATAATAATGATAATGATAATAATAACCAAAAACAATGATTATAATAACAATGATAATAATAATGTTGATAATAACAAAGGGTATAACAATACAGAAATTATATACATGTCACATGGAATATAATTTCAGGCGAATTATTACACTTACTCTCGCTTGTGCCTTTCAAATTTTTGTCCTACTGCAAATGACAAGGATAACAGTAAGATATCGTCGTAAGTTACATAGTAATGATGATGAAAATGGTGATAGTAATATTTACAGAAATAATGACGATGATCATAATATTAATAATAAAAATAATGAAAAAATAATGATGATGGTAATAACAATAATAATAAAATATAATGATGATAATTAATTAATAGATAATAACAATATACTGTCAAAGTCTTGTTTGGCATTTAAAATTCGAATACTTTTGATGGGCTTCTAGAAGCGTAGAACGGTGGCGGGGCGTTGCCACATCTATTGAACTTTATTTTGAAAATAGGAAAATCTCGTGTTGAGTAAAGTGTAGTCAAGTAGCGAGGCGCGGAGAAATAGCGGCAGCTTGGGGACGCCTCCGGGCGAGAGACAAGGGGAGGTTCATTCAGCTCGGAATCGACTCATTGGCAGGCAAGGCAGAGAGAGCGTCTCTTGTTGAGGCCAAATTTAGTGATAAAATGAGAAAAGGGGGAACATTAGAGTGTGTAATAAGGGGGGAATACCCATATATATGTAATGTGAGACATTCTGCTCGGGATCGCCACATTGGCAGGGAACGAGCTGAAGAAGACGCTGGAGCCAACCGGTTGGGGACGCGACCCGACCCGAGACAGCCATCTTGGGAGCCCACGACGATGCCTGGAGAAAACCTCACACCTCGGCCCCAGGACCATGGAGGGGATCTCGTCGAAGAGGATAGATCCCGTAATGCCTGGTGCAGAACTAATAAGTGTAAGGTGGGAATGTAGATGTTTATTTTGCGAGTTATTTACATGTCGGGAGAGGGCCTATCCCACCCCCCAGTCCAGCAAATTAATACACTGCTTAGTCACCATTGTTTTACTATCAGTATGTCTGGTTCAGTTAATACTTAGTGTTCCTTGAAGGGGAGATTATGTTCAGAGTACGGTGCTGGGAAAGGGGGTTGTTATAGTAATCTTTGTCAAGGTTAACACAAGCTGTTTCTCTTTGTTTACTCTAGGGAGAGTAAATATAATTTGTGTTTCCTCAGTATATATGGAATGCCATCCATATAGCAACCTAATTTATTTTTGTAGTGGTAATAAATATTCCAAATTGGAATGATCTTTGTCTAGACAGTATCCAGTTAATATTACCCAAAAATTGAAAAGACCCAGCCAACCCATGTTTGCCTAGACTGCCGGGCCAAGCTACCAAATTAATACCATGATAAGGGTTTTTTTCGGAATGCCTCCTCATTTAAAACCCAGTGCAGTGCTACTAATTGATTATCATATTAGAAGAACTTAAAGATAAGAATATTATTCAATTTAATTTTTTGTGTTAAGAGAGCTAAAGGTGGCAGAAGCTTAAATTATGCGACCAACAAGCTTATTTAAAACAAAACCCGGATGGTGGCAGTGCTACTAATTGATTAATCATATTAGAAGACTAATCAGATAAAAAGATTAGATTATAATTTCACACTATTTTGTGTTAATTGCGGCAGAAGCTTAAATTATACTACCGACAATACCAACCAATGATAATGATGATAATAGTAATATTGATAATAATGTGAAGCACAGACATATAGCAAGAATAAGCAAATACAGACATATGTCTACTGACGGTGTGTACAACTACACACACACACACTACTTTGCAAACGTATGTCTGATTCTAATATTCACCATATTAGCTATACTACAATTATATCTCAATATATATTGTATTTCTGAAACTCGCTTTTGCCAGTAAAGTCTTCTGGACTCAGTTATAACTCCAATTCTACTTCTTCAAACGCTGTTTTATGACTACTATTAGAGAGCAGAAAGTTTTATAGTAATAGTAATGAAAATGGTGATAGCAATATTTACAACACTGATAAAAATAATAATAACAACGATGATAATGATAATAATAATGATGGTGATAATAATGATAATAATGATAATAAAAATGATAATGATAATAATAAAGGTAATGCTAAAAAATAATAATGATGGTAATAATAACAACAACAATAATGAAATATAATTATAATGGTAATTATAAATGATGACATTGATACCAACAAATGATGATAATAATAATAGTCATCCACTTCCCCTTCATTTCTTAATCGTTCCCATCGAATAGACGTGTAAATAATGAAATTGTATAAGCTAACGGTATTACTTGTCATTTGTCTCGTGAATATAATATGATGAGGATGGTAATGATAATAACAAAAAACGTGATGATTACAATATCAATGATAATAATAATAGTAATGATAGTGATGATAACAATAAAGAAAATAATCATAATGAGTTAGAATAGGATTCTCATAAGTGCATCATATTGTGTGTGCGATTCTTTAATATCTATGCCGTCAATTATGACGTTTTTACTCCAAATTTTGTAACTTTGAGACCGCAGTTACATGATATATAAATTCAGGCGAGATGTAACGAGTATATAACCAATATTAATGATCCATTTTATTTTGATATAATAGATAAGGATGTCAATAAGATATCGTTATAATTTTTATATCAGTAATGAAAATGATGATAGAAATAATTGCAACACTGATAATGATTGTGGCGATGGTAACAACGATAATAATAAAGATAATGAAATAACAATCATAATAATAATTAAAATATAATGATAATGATAATTATGAATAATGACAGTGATACCAATAAATGATAATAAAAATAATAATGATAATAATAGTAATATTGACAGCAAAAATACTACTACTAATGATAATAATAATCATAAAAAATGATAACAAAGAAATAATTATACTAATGATCATGATAATAATCGAGATAATAGTAATGATAGCAATGATGGTAATTACACCAATAATAGTTTTTAACAATATCAGAGTGCGATTCAAGTTACCTTTAGTGTTTTATATCAATCAATAATAATCAAAACGGTAAAAAAGAACAGAAAAAAGGAAAAGAATAAAGAAAAAAAGAAAGGGACAAATAAAAAAAAAAGAAAAAAGAACAAGGGAAATAAAAGTTTAACAGTAAAGCAATTAACCAAAGTAACAACAACAACAAAAAGATAAGGACAGAAAAGAAACGAAAATGAAAGAAAGACTAAGAAAAAAAACAGAGAGAAACAGATATGATTCACCATCGGAAAGATACAAAAAAAAAAAAAAAAAAAAATTGCTTCGTCATCTTCGTTACACAACCGCACAGCCATCAAACCCGCTGATGTACGACGAACCGGAAGTCTACAACGGCGATGGCATACGAAAGCGGACCTTGTGGAGCCGGGCCGTAGAGATCACGGGCTACGAGCAATTCTATGTGACAAATGTGAACAAATCGTCTACAGCAAAATTTCGTAGAAGCAGTTTTTTTTTTCTCGTGATGATGGCTTTGTTTCGCTAATTGGCCGAGAAATGACTTCATGGTAGTTTACAGACACATGCACACATACATGTATGTGTGTATGCAAATACACACACATACACACACAAACACATACACACACGAGCATCATATAACACGCACACATCATAACACATCATCAATCACAAACACACACACACACACACACACACATCATATAAACACACACACACACACATCATATAAACGCACACACACACATCATATAAACACACACACACACACACACACACATATAAACACACATCAACATATAAAACGCACACACAACACATCATATAAACGCACCACACACACATATATAACAACACACACCACACACACACACGCACACACACCAACACACAATCATCTATAACATCATCTCTTAGGCAAAACTTATAATCAAAACGAACTCTGTAGGAAACACTTCTCTCGCTAATGAATCTTATCTTCACCTTTCCTTTATCATAAAAAGGAAATATAACCCTTAAACCTCCAGAAGTTGAAGCGCGGTTCGGTGCTTCGCCTCCAGCCTCTTGGTGCCAGGGGTGCCAGGGGTGCCAGGGGGTGCCAGCGGAG